AACAGCACAAATATTTAATGAGCGACATGAGAACAGTAACGTGCATCGAAAATATGTTTTAGAACTTGTAGCTAAATTTCGGGAAACTGGATCAGTTGTCAATAAAAAACGCAACATTGACAATCCGATAAGGAACGAAGGAATAGAAGTGGGGTTTTAGGGCAAGTTTATGTAGATCCTACGTTAAGTACCTGCAAATTTCATAGTGTGTGAGGTGTTAGTCGACGTAGTATAAACGGATTCTAAAGGCCCATAGTTTTTATCCGTATAAATTTCACCTTAACGAAGACGATTTTGATCGGCGATTACCATTTTGTAAAGATGAGTGAACGAATTATAAACGATGAACTATTTCTATTCAACACTTGCTTTTCCGACGAATGTTCCTTTTTCTTAAATGGCGTAGTAAATCGTCATAACTGCCGATATTGGTCCGATTCTAATCCCAGAATTTATCATGAGGTACACACACACAGCAGCCACAAAAATTAAATATTTGGGCTGGTATTTTTGGCGATCATTTAGTTGGTCCTTTTTCTTATCTGGAAATTTGACCGATGAAATGTATTTGGAATTACTGCAAGATGCCATAGATCCTGCACTAACAGCCATAATTGAAAATCATAATGATCAGCGGTACATTGCGAATAGGTTGATGTTCCAACAGGATGGTGCCCCACCACATTACGTGTTCGACAATATTTAGATCAGACGTTTCCAGGTCGATAGATTGGTATTGAATGTCCCCCAAGATCGCCAGATTTATCACCTTTAGATTTGTTTCTGTGGGGTCACTTAAAAAGCAAAATCTATGCTACTCAGCCAACATCGTTAGATTTGCGACAAAGAATTGTGAATGAGTGCCTTCTAATTATTACTCCTCAAATATTGCAAAATGTGCGGCAACGTTTTCAGCAAAATCTTTATTACTGCATGGAGAGTCATAGTGGTCATTTTCAACATTTACTTGGCTGATGGGTCAGTTCATTCTTCATTTTTAAACTACTTTGCTGCTAAATGTATTGATCTCCACTAATGACGATGTATTAAAGACTACCTTAAGCTTTAAATCAATAAATCTCCAAAACTATTGAGAAGTACATGAATTTTACATCATTATAAAGGGAATTGAAAGACCTCTCAAATGATGAATCATTCGACCCCCTTTCCATTTAAGATTTTAGGGATGGTGCCACCCCCGCCTAGAGGGCTGCACGTGTTAATGTAATATTTTGCCAATTTTGTGTCCCCCTCGAAAACAAAATCGACGAGTCTGAGCGTTTTCCAAAAAAGAACTGAGCTGCCAGTAAATGTTTCGTTTTCGATGCACCACCCTGTATAAATGATGTATCAGAAATATATTTATGAAGAATAGCTCGGAGGAAATTAAATAAAAAAATATTTTAAAATATATCCTAAAAAAATGTATATTTGGGGTACAGTTGCACCCCGCCCGAGTTTTTGGAGGTTAACTGCAAATTACTGTATTTTTACAGTAAGCATCAAAACCAGTGTACTACTACAGTTTGATATAGAATGTATGAAAAAAAAACTTCAAATGTTATGCTTTAATAACTATACTCATCAAAAATTACCAACAAACTTACATAAAATATTGCTAAATAAATGTAAAAAATCAATAATATTCAATCCAAAAAGCTGCTATGGTGCAGGTAGAAATTATTGTTATTTACTCGACAACATAAAATTTCAATACATTAAAAATTTCTTAAATAATAATTAAAATTGTCCTTGAAGTTCTACATAGTTACAATACATATATTACAATTACAATGTGAATAATACGAAAATTTAGAGGAGTTTTATAGGTGAATTTGAAAAACAAATACTCTGAAAATAGTTTAAGTAATTTGAATTAACACATCAATTTCTGATCGATTATTGAATAAAATTATTGTTTAATTCTATACTTTATCCATTTTATAATAACAAAAATAAACAGACAAGTGTATTTGAACCAAGAAGGGGGCATGTTAGTATTACATAAGCCTGCTTAGGGAATAAGAAGTTCAAGTTTTTTTTATTTTTTCTGACAAAGACAGCAGGGTGATATTTAAAACAAAAATGTTTTCAAAATAATATTTTTAAAATATTTTTATGATTATACCGAATTTATTTTCATATTTATTAAAAATAAATTAATGTCCCGAGAATAGTAGTCTCTTTTTAAAGGTACCGATGTTCAATTTGGGGAACCCCAGACGTACTACGACTTTAAACTAAAACGAGTAAATATAATAAAAGTTTAAAAAAAAAGTTTTCATGGTTCGTGTGTACATCATGCTTAAGAGGTGCATTTAATAAGATGGAGGTAATTTTGAATAATTTTTATATTGAGAAGTTTAACAAACGAGATACATCGTAAGTAATTGGTTACGTAGAGGCATAACTTCTATACATGGTTGTCCCGCATCTTCTGTTTAAATTATGGGAGTGTAAAGAAGGCTTAATTCTAAGACCAAGAAACGTAAATGGTAAGTCAATACATATTCGTTACATGCCAATGAACTTTTTGAAGAGTAAACTCATACTTAATAAAAATTTATCTTAACCTTTGATTAATATTTTCAAAAATACTTATCCTCCTTATGGAATACAATGATTGATGAAGTGATCATTCGTATTTTATGTTTACATTCCAATAATTTGGCAGTCTGCTGAATATACTCCATAATTCCTTTCAGGTGTTTAAAACTAGACATAATTTAAAATTATTTTGAAAGGCCTTGTGAATTAAAAATCTATTTTTACTTACTGGTCACAAATTACATAACTTCGAAACAAATAAAAATCGGTCATGTTTGTGTTTGTTAGTCTAGAATTCTACCTCACGCTTTAAAATATGTACATAAGGATAAGGGAAATTTATTTTCGGAAACACAGGATTAAAAATTCTTCTGCTCACAAAATGCACTTTTTGGTAATTATATTTTTTGTATTCCTAAAATGTGTTTTTGTTTTCTCAAATTTGTCATGGTAATTAAGATTAAATTGTCTTAAATATATAGAAAGTAGTTTATTTTTCCCAATTTATTCGTCTTCGAGGTTTTTAATATTAAAGGATTCTCCAGACTAAAGAGAATGTTTGCAGCCATCCTCTTCGCAGCAAATTAGTAATAATAATTGCGATAAAATTCGCGCTAGTTTGAAGATTTTGTTTTGTCATCATGTACAATATTCATCAGCGTCAATATTTAGGGACGGCGCGGAATTTTCACGTTGGTCTCGAGGAGCTTTTAAGTTTAGAATAACTTTATATTAAATGTAATCGAAGAAAGGAATCCCACCTTTCAAATATGGCCATATTCAATGAGATTATAAAAAGACAAAATCAGTAGCATATACTTTATTAAATTAGGCGACCGGTTGTAGCTAAAAAAACGTCAAACTAATATAAATAAGTTTAAAAATATGTGCTACACTAATTTGGTTTCCAACGAGAAACATTATCTCAATAACCTTTAGGACCTAAGGTTTGTTCAATGTTTGTCTGTGAAAGCCAAACCATCTATTTTAAAATTAATTTGTACTGTATGTGGTACCTACTGATTTTACCTTTTAATAATCTCACTTTTTATTAATTTAATAATAGAAATTCATCTTATTTGATTTTGTATTCCCTATAAATACTCACACGTTGCAATTTAAATTCATAATTTGCCTAATCATATTTTTTCTCAAAAACAAAACACATGTGTTTAATTTTACAAAAAAATAATTTAACGTCAACTTATAAGGTCAATTTGATGTCATAAAATGGTGTCATTTATCTGTGACTTAGATTGGATTTTATTTGTTGCGCTAGTGTCACAATCGCACTGTATTCGAACTGTCATCCTTGTCAAAAGTATGTGCTACACTCAAATATTTGAAGCTACACTGAACAAATCAAACGCAGAACACTTACACCTAATGCAACAAATAAAATCCACTACAAGACAGTCAGTCATAACCACATCATTCGGACGTCATTTATTTGGAAGTCATCCTAACGTCACTCATAACAACGTACAAATATCGTCAGTTGGTGGACTGGGACTATTTTATACTCTTTTCAGATAATGGAAACGGATTTAAAAAATTATGATATACAGGATACTGTTTTAATTAATATAATTAAGAGACCCGAATAAGAAATAGACCACAAATATGGTATTTGGATGTGGTTAATGTTAGTTTGTATCTAATTTTTAATTAAAAAAAAAAAACAAAAAAAACAAAAAAAACAGATTAATTTGAACCTCTAGGCTAGATTTAGATCATTTTGAAAAATAAAAATATTTTATAACCTAATCCGACTCATTTAAGATTGAAATCATAAATACAAGCCTAATCTCCTCTAAATTTCAAAGAAAGCGAACTTATCAAGAACAATTTGAGATATTCAATATCTAATAAGCGTTGGGAATTCAAAAAATCAAATTAATTTATAATAAATATTAATCATCTTCAAATCTTTCATTAAATTAATATCACACTTCAAACGGAATACAATGTACAGAATGCCAGGAAATAGTGTCATTTTTTAAAGGTAGATAATCCTACAATAAAAATTAAATAAATGCTTTGTTAAATAGAATTTGATTCAAATGTTGAATGGTAGATACACAAAGTGGTGCTACAGTACTACTTACTGTTGCAGATAGAACGTTGACTCTGCATAAAAAAGAAGTGATTTTATTAGAATGATCTTAAAAATTCCACAATTTATATCTACTTTCTTGAATTTCCGGACATGCTGTATTAACAAAACTTATTATAATACTATAAACCTACAAGGTTTCATATTACACCATCTTGACGATGTACAAATTAATCAAAATAAGATTTTATTCTATTAACATGAAGTATGTCCCATTTAAGTCTTAACACTTATTTTTTTTATAAATTAATAAAATATATAAAATTTTAAAAATTCGTTATTTTTTAGGAATCATTTTATTTAAGGCTACATCCAAAATGTAGAAAATGTATTATTTGTCAACATTGCAAGACTAAAAATGAAAAATAAGATTTAAAAAAAGTTTTTATCTATTTACACAATTTTCAGAATAATATTGGGCAAAATTTATTTAGCTGTACCAGTTTTAAAGTAATTATAATTATTGTTTTTAAATAGACAAATAAAATAAAAAAGAATCATTTAAAATGAAGTTAATCCGTTTAAAAAGCTATCAAAAAAGGCTGACACTTGCATGTCCTAACAAAAAAATATTGTAGAAAACATTTTCATGAATATCTAAGTGGTACTTATTATTTTATTGCTTTCTACACTGTATCTCTGCATAAAATTGAAATAAATTAAAAATAGTATTTTTCCAATGAAGAAAAATTGAAAAACTGAACAAAATGAAAAGATAAAATATTAACAAACGCTATAAAAATTCTTAAATTGATATGATAAAAAGTTTTATATTATATTATTCTTGTAAAATATTAAAATTTGATAAAGTCCTATTACTAAATGGGATACACTTGCCTAGTCTTAAGATTTGCGTAAAAATCAAATAGTATATTATATAAAAATATTTAAGAAGTTAAGTCATTTCTGAACTGCAAAAACCCCAAAATAAGATACAATAAAAATAGAATTCTCATTTCAAAACAATAATAATTAAAGGAATTAAAATTATTTTTCGAGTCACGAAAACATAAATACTCTTAAAATTCAATCGATTAACAAATGTTGGTAAAACATTTAAACATAAAAATTAACGGCAACTTGCAGTTCAGAAATTAAGTCGTTTTGTCCATTAATAATGGCACTTTGCTGCACTATTGCCCCGGTAGATCCTGATTAATTCATCTCCTATATTTTCTTGGACAAGTTGGCCATCGACTCCTTCATATATAGGCCTGTTGCCATTGTATGGATTCCTTAAATGTCTAAAATCATAGAAACTGTTTTAAAAAAGTAAAAAATTATATTTAGTAAGAGATTTGACTTATTTGGAATATCTTTGTCATTAGGAAATTAAAAGCAACAAAAATGTAATTTAACATTTTGATTATCTCATTTAAGAGGAGTATTTACTTGGCTGTAGAGCGGAGCATGCAAGGGTTTCGTAGTACCCCACTTTTAAAGTTTATTTTTGACTTATTCTAAAAGAAAAAAATATGTACGTGTAGGTAAAGGATAAATCTATGCTCCTCTGGAGGCACTTTTTTAAAATTTGAAACTGTTTTTTCTAAAAAAAAATACAAAACTCCACTTCTTATGTCCTTTTTCTCAATTTTTTTTAGAAAAAACTAAATTGAATTTTGAAAAAGTGGTTCCAGAGGAGCATAGATTTAACCTTTACCTATACGTATATATTTTTTTATTTTAAAAATAGTCAAAAATAAACTTTAAAAGTGGGGTACTACGAAACCCTTACATTGCAAGATTTTTCGTCTGGAAAGTGGCGCCTCTGTTAGATTTTTAAAAAATTAATATTTGTGAATGAAAACAATTTATAATATATTTTACTGATGTTTTACGAGGGATGAATAAATAATACGTATTTGTACACCTTATTTTTTACGTAATTAATTTCTGTAATACTAAGATTGGCATATATATTTTATGCAAGGGTTTCATAGTACACCAATTTTACGGATTATTTTTTAATTTTACTAAAAGAAATTTTATCTAAGTACAGGTAAAGGCTTAGCCAATACCTCTCTGAATTCACTTTAAAAATATGAATCAGTCTCTTTTGAAAAAAATCTAAGAAAAATGTTAAAAAATGCTAGAAGAGAACAATATATTTAATTTTTGCCTACAGGAGCATTTATTTTTATTACAATAAAAATAAAAATACTTTAAAAGCTTTTTCGTCTAGAGGGTGATACCAACAAAATATATAACTTTTTCTACTATTTAGTGATAAACAGTACGTAAGTGATTTAAATTCATGTTATTATTTTTTACATACAGTAATTTCGCTCAATTATATTAAATTAATCTTATCATTTATTTATTAAAAAAATATATATACGAAATTGGAAGGTATACACTGAGATGTGAATTATAAATATGTTTTTGTTTAATGAATACCTCTTTGAATCAACAATAATTATTAATTCCAGCATGTTAATATCTCTTCAATCCATTAAAGTAATGTAAATATTTTTAACTGCTTTCGCGCATGGCTTTGATCTGTCGCACCCTTTGAGGCGCGTTGCAAGAGAAAGTTTTCTAAAAAGTTAGCCAATGTCTAAAAATGAGAAAAAAACGATTGTGACAAGCTGATTGTGCATTGTGGCACAATAAAAGACGGAAAGGAGTCACTGCTTTAAAATTAGGAGAAATTTGTAAAAAATCTCCTAAAATCTTTTATTTATTTCTAAAGCCACCCGATATGGCATGGACCATAAATTCAAAGCAAAATAAGATTTGGAAATTTATTTGCAACTAAAAGTTTTTAAATATGGACATTTTATTAAATTCGAATTTGATTATGTTGCTGCCAGACTGGATGGAATTAAAAAAAAAAAAACAAAACTTTATGATAAAGTTAAAATGTCCATATATGGAGCTGAAGTGCTGACTGTGGAAGAAGAAATAAGCAGTAGAGAAATAACTTTTTGGAAAAGGGACAATACCATTAAGGAGAACCACTATTGGTATTTTCAAATTCAGGGCTAGCTGCACATAACACAAAAGGATTTTTGCATTTTGTGCTTCTGGAGTTCTGGAGGAATAAAAGTGGAGAAAATATCACATATTGACAGCTTTTGGGAAGAAAAGATACAAAATAAAATTAAAAATTACGGGACAAAATATTAAATAATTCGTGAAAAATTTTGTTTAATGTTTATTAACATAACGCAAGGAATCTTAAATTATTTTGAATATTTTTATTAATTTAAGAATTACATTTTATTTAGTTCTAAAACATGGTAGTAGGCTATCCATTTAAGATATGATTAATGTCTTATTATTATAATACACTATTTTAAATTTAGGATATTACCAGTGGCAGTGGTAATTGATGATATATAATTATTATTATACCAAATGTTTTAAAAGGCTACACCAACTAGTGGACCACACTTTTAAGTCCCCAAATAATAGTTTCAAGATTTTGATTTGGATTAGAAGTTTTACTATACAGAGTTTTGTGTCAAAGCCAAGTCATGTATGTATTGTTATTGTAATACGTAGATGAGTAACTATCATCAATAGAAATTTAAAATTCACACATAAATCTTTGTAACGACGTTATTTATAACTTTATTAACTTCATAAGGGTCAAAACTGTTAGTTAACTTATTTAATTTTAAATATAAATTGATTTTCATTTTAACTTAGAAATTTTCGAAAAGTTCACTATATTGTTTAGTTGTTGAAACTTTACTGCGCTTAATTAGCGTTCAGATTAAAATATGAATTGATTTATGGAGCTTAACTGAAAAACAGGAACTAATGCTTTCATTCCAAAAAAAGTATTATGGTCAATAAAAAGAATTTCGAACTGTGATATCTCTAAGTCCTTATTTAAAACCTTTAAATTTAATATTATCATTATACAAGAGTTATCTTTACAAATTGATACAAATATCGAACATAAGTTTGTTGACATAAACATTATTTCCATAATACAAATAAATATATCTTTGTTAAAGAATACTCATAATTTATTTAATATATTCATTTAAACATGTTTTTGTTTTTTGTCTGTATGATATTGAATACTAACTTTTTCTATATAACTTCTTATCGAGACATTGTGAGATAAAAAACAGACAATTAATTAAAAGCGTACTCACAATTTTTCAAGTATACTGTTTCCCAAATTATGAAAATACTAAAGAATATTTAAAAAATAAATAAAAAGCCAATTAAAGAATGTGTTAATATCTACAGTAGAACATCGTATTTCTTTTTTGGAAACAAAGAGTAATCGAAAATTGTGAAATGAACAACATATTTTTATTTTACAAAAATAATAAGTCAGTTTTTGTTTTCTATGTAAATCATATCATTTTCAAGGCAATAAAACAGAAGAAAAGTCACCGAATACCGATTTCTAAAAGGTTTATTAGTTTTTATAGGAAATGGAAAGAGAAAGAACGCTTTTTAAACGAGTTAAAATTCTTTACTAATTTCGTTAACTATAAACGGATTAAGATATTTTGTACCGTGTTAAAAAATTTAAGAAAAATTTTGAAGAATATTTCTTTTTTTAAAAAAATTAGTAAACTTTGACAAATATATACAATATTCTAAAAGATAAATCACATTTATGTGATTATACTGATTATACAAAAATTTTATTTATTTTTCTAAAATAATATGGATTGTCCTCTAAAATATATATAGTGGCTCGCAAAAAGTCTGCTTTTTATGTTACTTTTTTCAGAAAATGTTATTACTGATAAAACTTGGTGTTTAATTAAACCTAAAACTTTATTTATTCAAAAAATTCTGTACCATAAATATAAATTTGGCTGCATAGTAAACTAGGTACTCTTCTAGGAACCCAACCCACATTTTTACATATAAGATTAATTTAGGAAGATGTATATAACTCCACATAGTAGCTTTTTAGTTAATACAATTAATATAGATTATTATATCCATTTTAACCTACTTCAAAAAGGAGGAGGTTCTCAATTCGTCTGTATATATTTTTTATGTATGTTCAGCGATAATTCTTTAACACAATGTCCGATTTAAATGATTCTTTTTTGCTGGTAAGGGGGTACCTCAGGGGTGGTCCCATATAAATTTGGTTAAGATGTGGTGATGGAATCTGCACGATTTTAAAGTCGGATTTTTAAAATTACTTTTAATACTTGTTACGTAAATTAAAAGTTTAATAATTTGGTGCTTTCTTGATGTGTCGTTTTATGATTTCACTTTGTATATGTTTAATTATTATTACTGGCAGTTTATTTTAAATCATTAAAATAATATTTTGTTGATCCAAAAATGGCAAACAAAAAAGCCATGTCACATTCAGTGTAATAATAAAAATTAGATATATAAATATAGTATATTATGTACCAACAGACTAAACTTTCACTTTCAATCCCGCCTTTTGTCGTAAAAGACTTTTACATTTTTACCAGTGACGTTCGTACCGGGTTTGAACTGAATATTTTTGAACAAAAATATGGTGCGCCACTGCTTTTTCTAAAAACCAAAATTATCTTTAAAATCCTTATTTATTTTGGAGCAAATTTGGTTTATATACGTACTTTCGTACGACGCACTCTTTTCGCGTAAGAAAATAAAAACCAGTTTATTGAAACTGCTTTTGATATTTTGTTGAAATTTGGTAGAAACCCACCATGAGTGGAAACACTTTTTTTTGGGCAAAATTTTATAAAAAACTTATGATAAAATAGTTATCTTTTTTCTTAAAACTTTAACACCCAAAGGATTCACACCCTTAAATATCGGCACTCAATTAATAAACACCCTGTATTAATTGATATTACCTTATTCGAACCAATCGTCTATTTTTTTGTTATTTGTATTTATATTTCACAACTCTATACTCCTAAATGAAATTTAATCTAACTAAACCTATTCACTAAATTAAAATATAAAAATAATGTAAAACACTCTAAAAAATCGAACTTCGTTATAACAATATCTCGCAATGCACCGAGAAAAACAAATACGATTCTGGTTCCCCTAATTTAGGTAACTCTGACTCACTCAAGTAGTGATGAACGTCCGCCGGTAGCCGTGGTAGGATTTTTTTTCGGTTCCTTTGTCTTAACTTTGCGCGTTACAGTTTGGAATACGTATCCCTCGTATCTACATGCAATTGTTAAAATTATGAATGAATGCGGATTTTGTTTAGTCTCGGAAGTAATTTTGTAGTATTTAGGCTCCACCCTTAAGTTGTAATTTTTATACCTACTAAACTACCGTTGCCCCGCAGGTCTTTCAGTTTGTAATGTAAATTTTCCTCTTAAGTGCAAGGGTAAAAAGATAAAAAGAAAGGTCTTTTATGTTTCACAATGTCATTTAATTCTCAGTGGTTGAGTTCCAACTAACTGCGTCTCCGGGTAGTGGATAGATAAAAACTATGGTACCTTGGAGCAGGTGCTAAACTCAAAGTCATAGGCCGTAAGGAAGTAGTCAAACCCAAGTTTAATATGACATGAATACGGGGACCAGTACAAGAATCCAAAATTCGAGGATCCAAACGGAGAACTGGAAAGTTTCTAGAAGGAAGTTGGACTCTAGGGGATAGCAACTTTTCATAAACATGGATTCTGTCTCTTGGAAGGAAATAAAAAAAGCAAGGAATATTGTTCCAATATCTTGTTGCTATTTCTGCTGCTAGTTATACTACTCAGGCAAAAAAAACTCCCACTGAGAGAGAACATATACCAGAGGAGAATCAGCCCTTGATCGCAGAACCGTAAGGAAGTGGGACTACAGAACCAACGGCTGAGGCTCTAATGGAAATAGGGGCTCGGAATCCTTAGCTTTTTTTTTTTTTTTTTTTAAATACTTATTACACATGACTTTTTTAACTCGTTCTGTTAAACTTTTTGTAGCGCTTCCTTTATGGAATTAGTCAAGGTGAGTCAAGGTTATTGTTTAACTTTCTTTTGTGTTTTTTCTGTTATTTTGTATATTGTAAAGTCCGTTCATGCTTTTATAATTGTTTTTATTACAACTGACTCCTTGACATTCCATTTAGGTGTGCCTGATGATGAAGTGACAACTTCGAAACCGGTCGCCAATTAAATTGACTTGTGAGAAATAAAGGACCTTTTCTTTAACCTTTACACTTAATCCCTACTACTCACATATGGCTACCCTCACTCCAAAAAAAAAAAAAAAAATACCGAACACTATTGCAAAAGTACAACATGCACTTTGCCAATTTTTCTATCATCGAGAAAGTATAATAATTAGTTGATTAAAATAAAATATTCAGTACCTTAAATTTATAAATGGAAGATCTGTCTTGAATATCCATTCTATCACAGCTGTTGGTTTACCAGAATTTTCACTAAATATTTTAATAAATTTTGCTATACCTTGAAAGGCATTTGTCTGATGTACAGTAAATAATAAAAATACTGGTTTTCTTTTCTGAAAATAAAATGGCCTTATTATAGTACTTGCCTAATATTCCTTTTTTTAGAAATGTATGAAACAGAACTTATTTTTCATATCTGGCTACTGGCCATACTTTGAGCCTAACACAAAGTTCTACACGGAAGCTCGGCCGAATTGGATGTACAGCTCATAATTATATTACTTTATTACCGAATTTCAGATATAGGAAAAATAAGAAACTTATTTCAATAGAGGTATTTCTAAATATATAAAGTTTTGGAGTTGTAGGATTGTAAAAATAAGTTTTGCACACCATGGTCTTCGATTTTCGAGTTCACAAAATCGCGTACCCACTTTTCCAACAATTTGTTGCAAAAGCTCTTTCACCCGTGTTGCCTTAAACGGCTTGTATTGGATGCGTTTTATTTATGATTGATCGTTGAAAAAAATAACCGTTAGCAGTTCTAGTGTGGTTGATTAAAATTTGTGTGTTTATCATTTTATTTTAGTCGCCGCAATCTAATCTTAAGTTCCTACCGGTAAAAGAGTGCCCACAGACAAATTAAGTTGTCGCGACTGTATGCTTTAGTTTAAAAGAATTTTTGGTTTTTCCTAAAATCGAACCAATAGATGTAAGAAAGGGAGAGAAGAGGAGAAAAGAAACAATGCATCTATAATAATTAGAAAATTTAAATGAAATGCCAAGGTGTAATAATTGGCATTATTATTTGAAAAATATAAATAATTTACCAAAAATTCTAAAAAAGTATTTTAATGTTTTAAATTAAACATTCAAAAGAAAACACACGTAGGTATTGCAAAAAATCAACAATTAGGTTATTATTCTAGTCAATGGCTTACATTGAAGTAGAGAATTCAAGGTAGAGCGATGGCATTTTTAAAAATAAAACTGTCACTTAAATTTTTGGTTTATATAGAGTTTAGATATGAGGAGTGGGGTCCAAGAACTCTCGCCGAAGGCGAGAACTCTCGTTTTCGTCCCGAAACAAAGTAATATGTTATTATCAAAGCAGTCCAATCTATCAGAATATTGATTAGCAAATCTACCCGATCTTGATAGAAAATAATTATGTCCATACTTAGTCCGATGTTGTCTAATATTAAAGGACTGAATAAGCCTTGTTTGTCTAGAAGGAACATGAATAGTGATTTTTATCAATAGCTATGGACTAAAGCTATACGAGTGCAGTACATTGTAGAATGTGGTAAAATCCTTGTGCATGCGTCTGATCTGAAGAGTGGTAATATTTAAGTAATTAATATCCTCGACTCCACGGTGGTCCTTAAATGAAATGAAATGTTTTAACCATAAAACTGGCTGATTGAGATCAAACATACATAGATCGACGCAGAAAAATCAGCTGATTCCGATGGTATAAATAATTCAATTTTGACCGAAGTGGTATATTAGTCATTTCTCCTTTCAACCTTCGACGTGCACTTCACGTGCACATCAGCCTCAAATGAGTCAATGACTAGGCGAGTGTTTTAGGTTATCAGTTCAAAGCGGACCATTTTCTGTGCGACCTTCGACCGAAAAATATGCACCCTTCATCTCCCCTAATAATCTATGAAAACATGCTCCGAGCATATAATCTGGTCAAAGAAGGTTTCTAGGGCCCAGCCCGTAACACACATGTTGACCAGCAGTTTTATTGTTGCATCTATTCGGGCGTCAACTATAGTATTGTCCCAGATTCTACAAAAGTGAACATACATCTAACAATAAGAAATGAAGTAATTCCTCAGTGCTCACAAAAGTAGACTACGAAATTTTACTCTATTTTATATTTTTAATAAAAAAAATCGAAGTATTTAACGCAGGTTATAGCTAAGGCTTTTTTTAATAGTTAATGAACAAGAAACACCTAAAAATTAAAAAATAGTAACGTAATGAGATTTGTTTACTGCAATTGCTCAGAAATCCGTAATCAGCTGTTGCACTTGTTGGTGCCATATTTAATACGTGTAAAACTGGTTGCCAAATTTCCTAGTAATTTTATATACGTCGAAGTGAGATATAAAGCTAACCACGTGACTGCTCTTTTATTGGTTAAACTTAATTACGCGGCAGTCTGGAAATTTATAAATTTATGCCCTCAAAGGATGACTGAGGTACTGAGGAGGATATTGGAAATTATCGTTTTTGTAGCTGTTCAGTTGTTAGTCATCCGGGTGTTGACAGCTCTGAAGACGACAACTTTAAATGTGGTTAAAACGTCAAGAAGCCAAAAACCGAAGACAATGAAAATTTGGATGTTCGAAACCCAACAGTATTTAACAATTTCTTTTGAACTTTTATTTTAAAGTCAATAAAATGTTGATTACTTTAATATTTAAATAACGGTTTCACCAGTATTAATCTACATCTCTTCTGGGTTTTACATTATTTTCTATTGATTTTAAACTGGTAAATTTTTATATTCTTCGATTCAAATAATATACAAAAAAATTAAATTGGAATATTCAACGAAATATGCTTTAAATTTAGAAGTTTTTAATTTTATAAGAACAAATCAAAATATAGCCCGTTATAGTCGTAAATAAAATTATACTTACACTCTTAAAACTTAAAATTTTCTTCTCAGTTTGTGGGGCAAAAATCCACTTGGCAGTTTGCTGAGCTATTTCCACATTTTGTCTTTGTTTAGGTTTAATCAATAAAAAGATTTTGCTATCTCCAACCTGCTCTAATGGGCCTCCAAAGTACCATTTGCTATTTAATGGTTCATTAGCACTTTCATTTTGCAAAGCGTTGATTAATAACTCTCCCGGATTCTGCATAGATAATTTAAGACCTTGGACGGATTGACATATAGAATTTTCGATTTCGTTAAAATTTATAACCCTTGCTACAATAAAAAAGTAAATGGAATTTAGTTTACTGTTGGTTTTAGTCTTTAGGTAAACGTTTATAGAATTTCTTTTATTCGATATTTCAATGAAAATAGTATCCAACTTTGACTGTATAACGTTTTTCATGGAATGTTTTTTTATGATATATTTCAAAAATAAAGAGAAATTTAAAAGTAAGTATTGATTAAATCCATAATTATTTGACCATTTTAGTAAGCTTTTAACAAAATTTGAAATTCAGAAAATAAAATAAAAATATAATAGATTATTAGTGACTGAATATTCAATACTTATCATCATTTTAAACTAAACATACATATTTATTAGAGTAAATTCGGCCATATAAAAGATTGTTTTGTACCGGATGTCTAAATAAGAAACGACGCCTGCTGTCGGCGCCGAGGTTGTAGTATTTTAGAAAAAAATATTTCATAATAAAAGTGGTCAAAAGAAATCACTGGAATTTATTTTCAAGTTTCTAACTTCGCCACTAGATAGTATGAGACCAATGGTAAACAGATAATCGAATTGGTAGTCAAAATTGGGTAAAATTTTGAAAAAATTACGATTTTCATATTTTCGACGTAACTTAAATAGGCATTTAAAAAAGACAGTTCTATCATCGACATGGGCATTACAGCCTCTAGTGGCGAATCTAGCAATTTCAAAAGATTTCTTGGGCTCACTTTTGTTTAAAAAATATACAGTGTGCATGGTCCAATCAAAAATTCAAACATCAGGTATAAAAATTTCTGTCGTTTAATAGGTACATCAGAAAATATGAATTTTACTCAATAATAAAATATTTTTATTTTGACATCGAAAATTTATGTAGAATTGTAAACTACGTTAAAATATAGTCATGTCTACATTAGACTGGGCCAAAAAAATAAAACAATTTTTTTTTTTTAGCGGAACTATGAAAATATTTTTCATGACGAAAAAAAAAATTCCTGAAAATTTGAGCCCTTAATAATAATATTAAGAGGTGCATCATTGCAGTTATTGATTTTTCAACAGTTGTCGCGTTTTTGCATAAATTTCGGACTTGGTCAATTTTAAAAAAATTTTTCATCTCTTATCCTTGTAGGAAATTAAATTCCCCACAAAAAAGCTCTCTTAGTAAATTTTCGTATGACGAGTCTATTCTTTGTAATCGAGCCTTAAACATTGGTATATATTTTTAATTTTTCACTTTGCATTTGGGATTTCCAAAATGAACTTAAATATTAAGATTACAAAGAATAGACTCGTCTTACGAAAATTTACTAAGAGAGCTTTTTTGTGGGGAATTTAATTTCCTACAAGGATAAGAGATGAAAATTTTTTTTAAAATTGACCAAGTCCGAAATTTATGCAAAAACGCGACAACTGTTGAAAAATCAATAACTGCAATGATGCACCTCTTAATATTATTATTAAGGGCTCAAACTTTCAGGAAATTTTTTTTTGTCGTCATGGACAATATTTTCATAGTTCCGCTAAGAAAAAAAATTGTTTTATTTTTTTGGCCCAGTCTAGTCTACATATTGTGTAAACCGATGGTTCTGCAACAATGATAATACTTACCTATTGATACATTTCTAATCAATTTGCCATGATATTTACATGTCTGACATTAAAAGTCAAATATATAACAAGTTCTAAGATTCGACCGTGTGATTTTTTATCTTTATCGGTTGTAAGCAGGTAGGGTTAGGTTTGGCCCAGAACACTGTGGCCTGTTGGGTCTATTGTATTCCCCTGCTTTCCCCGTATTCAGGTACTATCTTTGGAATAGTCCTGTGTTTTTGGTTAGTTTTAATAGGTTCCCTACCAAGTGTTCCTGGGGCGTTCTTTTCGGTTTTAGGCCGAAAAGGATGAAACGTCGCCTAGTAAGGGCTTCGCATTCGAAGATCACATGGTATGAGGTTTCTTCCTCTTCCATGCAGAGTCTACACGTAGTGGGATCATTGTGTAATCACATCACATGAAGGTGTTTCAGCAAGCAGTACCCAGTTAGTAATCCCACAATGGTGGATATCTGAGGCCTTGCTAGTTGTAGTGCCTCAGTAGCCATGCGTGGGTTTGGTCCCCTTAGCATGAGCTTACTGATTTCTATGTCCTCTTATCTATTGCCAGTGAATTTGGTGTTTTGTGGTTATCCACCTGTTCACTGCCTGTCGAGCAGAGGTTTTGCTTATCCCAAATACAGGTTCGGGTCCTGTGATTACTACACTCATCTGTTTTTAATTAAAATCCAATTTTTATAAACAATGGCTACGTTCAGCAGAAAAAATCTGATCGGGATCTGTTTCAGATCAATTTGCAACAGTTTTAAAGTCTGCTGAATAGTATTTTTTTGCGTTTTGAGCAAGAAATTGTAGTGACATTTATTAAAGTTATGTAACTAACCTCCAAACTACAAATTTATGATTTTATATTTTATCCATTTTATCTGTGGTTCGTGTGTAAATTAAAAAGTAAAATATAAAAGGGTATTGTGTATAATAGCAAAAGAAACTATTGTAACGAAAGGTTAAGTGACACTACGGAAGGCAATTTTTTAATGGTTAACGATATCTTAAATAATATATTATTGTAAAATGACGGGACCTCCATTCACTACTAGATGATTTTCTTTAGCAGTGACCTGAACTTTGAAAGTTTGATCGAGATCTAGGTCAAATAACTTCCATGTTTTAAATCGCATCCTCGTCTTTAATCTATTTTATCTATTTTTAAGTTGATCTTAACCTTAAAAACAGAATGCAATTGTTACACCTGGTTGACAAGATGTTGCGTCAACCCACGTTGGGCGCCAAATTTGGCACGTGCTAAAACGGGCTACGGAAGTGAGTGCACGAGCAAAAAAAAGGGATACCTGGCTTGGGGTGAGTCCTGAAAATATTTATAAGGCGCCACTAGCTCGACCACGACTCGAACTGGAAAGCCCCTTGATCTAGTAATGTTCCGCACCCGAAATACCGCAAAACAAATCTAAAGCCCTAATTACACTGTATTGTAAAGTGAAGCTTAATACCTAATTAGCAATAAAAAGAGAAAAACATAAAATAAAACACGTTATCCACAACAAATCTCCAGAATATTTTATTATAAATTAACACCTGAAATTTCCAGTTCGAGATGCCACAAAAATATTAATAAAATAATATTAAAAAAAATAACTAATATTTATAGTATCTGATTATGTTTTAAACCCCCCAGCGTGTACACGTTGAGTTCACAGATGTAAACTAGCCAAATTTTAGATAAAAGGAAAAATAATAAAGTTTTATAAGTCGTAAATAAATGTTCATGTAAATTCAAAACCAAAACGTTACTATTAAAATATTTCTTATCTGTATTTTCCTTTTCGTATTCGTTTGGACGTGGTCATACAATAGGAAAAGCTGTATACTAGAAAAGCAGAAATTCCAGAGGTCTGGTGAGGATATAACGACGATGATGAACTCCAATTCAAATAGTGTAACTAGCCGAAAAATTCTAATAATGACGTAATCTGGTGAACCGGTGAAGATGACGTGAAACTGCCAATTCCTGGATCTTTTAACGGGACCCTATGCCTGATTGGGTCGCTACGTGGATTGTATAAGTACTTAGATCGTATACTCGTACCGTATACTTGGACCCTACAGTATAAAAAAATTATCCCGTAATAATAAATTTGATTTACAAAATAATTTAAACATGTACTTTACCTCTAATTGAGGGCGTTGACAATTTAATCCTTCCACAGAAGATTTCAATCTTAAAACATCACAATAATGCACCTAACATGCCAAAATGCATACAAGATTGATTACGAGAACACTTATGAGTTTTATCCACCAAGGGTGTAAGATTTACAAATAAATCACAAAATATATATCACAGTGATCACTGTCAACAGTAAGTATCTTGCTAATACCAAATTAATTTATTTCGACTTACAGAACCTTTTTTTTTTCAATAAGAAATTGGCAGAAACATAGGAGATAGCTACTGTTTATTTTCTACTGAAACTGAACAACTATCGACACCTATTAATAATAGAAGAATATCGAAATAGATTTCCTCAAATATCGAAACAGATAAGAAACGCCATTTTTAGTCCAATTTATATTTAAATTATTAGAATAAATTAAAAATAGAGATTTCACCAGTTTAACCCGTAACAACTTTTTAGGTTCTTTACATATCTCTCTTTGATATGGATTATATTTTATCTAAAAAACATGTGAACGAAATCGTTCGAAAAAAATATAGGAATGTATGATCTTTATAAAATCTTTGAAAGCTTCAAAATTTTCATTGCGACCCATTTACCGTATACCAGTGGCGTATCTAAGCATCGTTATTAATAGCAAACTGTTTAATAATTCCATTCGCCTGTATCTTCGTTGTTAATTGAGATATCGGAATGAAAACGTTTTTATTCAAAATCTTATAACAGATACTTTCATATACTGGATCCAATTGGTCTGTGACGTCATGGCTTACTTCCGATTTTCCCGGATATAACTGAAAATCGCTATTTATTTTTAATTTTAAAATCGAAACCCCTTTTTTATTAAAAATTTGAATTTCTGGAACATTTTTTAACATGAATTGTGTATTAAAACTTTTCTGTCAGCTGTCAAAATGGTCGACATATTTTTTCTGAACATGTTACTATTAATTCGTTTATCGAAAAAAAATATGGGAATGTATGATCTTTATAAAATCATTGTAAGCTTCAAAATTCCGATTGAGACCCACTTACAGTACATCAGTGGCGTAACTAAGCATTTTCATTATTAGCAAACCGTTAAATAATTCCATCCACTTTTATCTTAATTGAGATATTGGAACGAACATCTTTTTGTTTAAAAGCTTGGCACAAGTACTGTCATATATTGGATTCAATTGGTATGTGAGACGTCATGGCTTACTTCCGGTTTTTCGGAAATAACAGAAAATCGCAATTACTTTTTAATTTATAAATAGAAACCTTTTTTATTAAAAATTTGAATTT